TTGGCCACAGTTTTATTAACTTTTTTCAGCAATCAGATTGCCCAGAAGGTTTGTTCTTTCGTTGTATTTTTATTCTACCGCTTAGAGTATGCAAATGTTAAATGTTGTGTTTATGAATTCTTCTAACATAAAAAAATCGTAAAAAAAATAAACTAGTTTGACTAATATGTATAGCAATGTCTGTGTAAGGTCGAAAAAACTCAAAATTTCAGTTAACATTTTTTCTCGATGATTTATATATGCTTGGATAGAGCTCAAAAAACTGTGTAAGAAAATGTACTTTTAAAGTTTTTTCCCTCTTTTATATACATTAAAAAAAATCAAAATACTGAAATCATTCCGTTTAGAATGATCTCAGTATGTTGAGCTTTTTAATGTACATAAAAGAGGGAAAAAACTTTAAAAGTACATTTTCTTACACAGTTTTTTGAGCTCTATTCAACCATACATAAATCACTGAGAAAAAAATGTTAACTGAAATTTTGAGGTTTTTCGACTTTACATATATATTATAGAAATGATAGAGAATTTAGATTGGTAATTTAATTTCAATTGAACGCAACCAACTTGTTAGACCAACTCACCTATATTCTTATGGCAACTTGTTAGTAATCAATAAAAAGATACATTATTCACAGCTTGCAGTGATTTTTGAATAATAAATTGTCGTCTGAAAACGTTTTTTGGTATATATGAAAAAATGTAGAAAACAGTAAAAAACGTCATCGCGTTCCGCAACATGATTTTAAAACATAATCTTTTTCGGATAAAAATACGCGCATCAGATAGCCCATGAAAAACTAGCTTTAGATATACACTTTTTGTAAAAAAAAAAGAAGTTTAGATCAAGAGGTGGAAAACAATACTCATTTTTCGTTACGCGATGACGTTATAAATAGGGTAGTTTAACTTGAGCTCGCTGCAAAAAAGTATAGCACATGGGAAGCTCACTGTTATGGAAAAATATACATCTATTATCATAGTCTTAATTGGGCTTAATCAACTTTGTATATACTAGACTGTTAAGATATACGGGTTAGGTGAACTCATGCTCTAAATAGAGGAACTTTTTTTGTCCATTAGTGGCCTCTCTGTTACCAGTTATCAAATGCAATTTAAAGCACTTATTCACGAAACGAAATAAGTTTCTCTCCATTTTAGACTATGCTCTACAACATGGTAATGATGATTTCTTAAGATACTGATTTTGAACTCCCGGTCATTGAGATGATACGTTACGCGTACAAGCTGATAATTGAAAAGATTTTATTTTATTATTAATTTCCTTACGCATATTAGTAGTATTATAGAATACACGTTTGTTTGTTAATTCATATATTCATACTATTCAAATAAACATAAAAGGTAAATTGATACAGATAGATTAGATTTAAATCATTTAAAACATGTTTTTCAATTAAATATCGTATAATTATAAAAATATTTCTCGATATTGAAGTGTTTGTAAGATAATATTCAACAAACGATTTTTTTAACGATGAGAAAATTCCAGTAGAATTTTAAACACAACGAAATTTTAAACTTTTTAATGAAAATTCAATATAATTTGGATGAATGAAAAAAGAAAAAAAAATTGAAAACATCTATGATGAAATATAAGCTCTATTTATAGTATAAGGAGTTCGTCTACGATAACGCGGTGATTGAATAATTCTTGGTGGTGAAAGAAGAGTTCCTGATGCTTGAAGAGGAATTTCTATTATTGAATTAGGTCTTGCTCGATTAAATACTTGAGGCATTGGACCTTGATATTTAGCACAAAAATTGGGTATTGTCCAACATACTATACATGAAAGACATTATAAAAATAGAAAAGCAAGACCAAACATTCCAATTAATAAAGCATTTAAAGCCAATTGAATTTCTTGTTCTTTACTTCTTTTAGTTTTATCAGATAAAGTTGGATGTTTTATATAACGTTGAATAACAGTAATTGATGTGAATAAACCAAAAAGACAAAGTATAATAGCTACCCATGTATATGGAAGTAATGCATGAAATGAACTATGAGATTTTTCTTTAACAGTAATTAATGTAAAAACTCCAACAGCTATTATAAATAAACCAATCCAAATACCTTTTACAGAGCTTGGCCAACTTGATTGTTCAGATTGTTTTATTGTCACTGATAATGTACTTAGATCTGCAGCTGTTATTCCAACTAAACATAAACCACGAAAAATAACTAAATGAGCAATGCTTTTGTTTGCATCCAATTTTCTACGATCACGAAGTGAACAAAAAAACACGTATACCATAATAACTAATGTTATTAAAAATCATATTCATCAATAAGATCAAATTATTATCTTACCGAAGTTCAACGACTTGATTATCACCAAGAATGTTTTGCCCTATCTCGACCATTGACTATTTTTTCTTTGATGATAAACGTTTTCAATGAATTGACTTTGTTTACTTCTATTTCCTTTCAATCATTCATGCATAATAAAAATCACACATTCTGATTATTACATTTGTGAGAACATCAAAATAAGTTAACTGATATAAAACATATGAAAACAAGCATACAATTGTTTTTTATACTCCATCAAGAAAAAACAAATTTTCAGTGAATGAAAAAGTTCAATTGATGAATATAAAACGAAATTGTTTTTTACGTCAAGTATGGCCAAATATTATTCATAGGATAATTAATAAAGCAAAATTATTTCGTATCTGATCATTTCGAATAGATAAACTTTGTAAAAGAAAGAACAAGTTACATTTTAATAATTTGTATCTTTTTTTTGTTTATATTAAATCATGCAATTGTATTTACTTTCATCTTCTTCTTATGAGATCATAAGCCAACTGTCTCTCTATTTGTTAGTGAACATATGTATATATATGAATTAATGTCGTTCGTTGATCTGATTATGAATATAATCATTCGAATTATCCTTGATTCTTTCTAAGTGCTATGCTCTAATAGTCAAATTTCACATCGATTATACCATGCAATGTATAAAAACAAATTATTTTTTTTATCTTCTTTATTTATTTTTACACAGAAAAACTCTTCTAAATATTCACTTTGCTTTTCTGTTCGATAATGATACATGTTGCTCATTCAAAAGTTGAGCTTGACTTATATTTTTAAAAGTTATCTCAATGGTATTTTTTTTTTTTGTTCATTAAAATATAGTAGATTGGTTAAGTCATTAAATTGAAAAAAACACTTTCATTAATAGGGATTCATTAGTAAGACAGGCAGAATCTTCGAATTCAAAATCATAATATTGAATTGCATGTAGTCATATATGTTCCAATGGCAAAAAAAAAGCATTAGTCTCTAGGAAAGATTTGTCAGAAGTTTACTCATGTAGTAGAATTTATTTTGAACTTTCTTTTGTTATAAAGGTTGATTCATTGTTTTTTCTTACACAATTTTGTTTTCATCGAAATTGCCAGAGACAAAGCAAGTTTTAATCGTACAAGTCAGAGGAGAACTCGTCAGAAAATAGCTGTGACTGATTTTCATCTGATATGACTAAGGTAAAATTTAGGTTGTTTTTACGAATTTCTGAAGAAGTTCCATAAGGAATTTCAAGATGTTGGACTTATATTTAACGTCTAAAATAGAAAATAACTAGACTACTCAAAAGCCTAAGAAAGAAGAATAACTGGAATTAAAATGATGAAACATACGTAAAAATCATTTTATTCTAATTTTATTCATTAAAACATATATTTATGTAAATAAAGTTCCATAATTTTGAATCGAATTTATATTAATTGTATTTAATTGATTAAAATGTCTGTTTTAATCAATAAAATTGAAATCGATGAATATTTATATTCATTTTTATCATTGAATATATCTATATTTTCATATTTTTCGATAAAATATATTCAAGTTATTAATTTGTTTTTCTTTTAAATCTATAGATAAGCCAGTATCTCGAAAATATTCATTTTTTTTATTCATATTAAATCAACATATGAATTTTTCAAATGGTAATTATGTTCCATGTCTTTGTAATTTACAAAAACATATATTTTCCTTTGAAACATTCATATCTTTATCAAATTTCAATGAAAAGAAAAATATTTTCGAATATTTGTTAATTCGTAAAAAAACATCCAAATTTCAGTCATATCAGACGAGAGTTTACAAATATTTTCGATCATACCTCTTTTTTGATCAGTATACATGTAAATATTAATATAACAAAAACCAATAAAAAAAAAGCATTTTTCATAAACTGATTGCATACCGATAAATTTCCTGTGTTCTCTTTACAATTAAAAATAACCTTAAATTTTACAATAAGTTTAGATCAGAGATGTCCATCGCGGCTGAAAATCTACCGCTGCCGCGCCGCGACGCTGCCGCACCGCGATGAATTATAAAATAAACATGCCGCTACCGCGCCGCTGCCGCGACAGTTTTCAAAAAAGTGTTTCTAATTTCACTGCTGTGACTATATTTGACCAGAGATATGGGTACTAGTCCATCAGATTTATTCAATATCAGGGCGTTTCATTTGTAAATCCTGAAATTCTATTAAATTCATACAGTTTTTCAATGTCCTCCAAAAAAAATCCTGCCGCTGTCGCGATGGTTTTTTAAAAAACCTGCCGCTACCGCGCCGCTGCAGCGATGACTTTTTAAAAAATCTGCCTCTACCGCGCCGCTGTCGCGGTGATTTTTTAAAAAACCTGCCGCTGCCGCGCCGCCACCGCCGTTGCGGCAGCGGCGCGATGGACATCTCTGGTTTAGATAAGGAAATACTCGTGCTACAATTCTCTATTCGAATATTATACAATCAACAGTTTTATTCTATAAAAATAGCTTTAGAAAAACAGAATTAAATCTTAAAACATTTTTTTTAAGAAATTGATATGAATAATTAAATCATGATTAAAAAGAATATTTCAAACTTTTTAATTGACATAAATATTAAATTAGACAAATAAAGAAAATTTCTTTTTGTATTCAAAATAAGTCTTGTAATTGAATAATAATAATAAAATTAGGTAACATTCAAAACGGCTTGCATAAGTGGCGCAAAACGTTCTAATGTATCCGTTGATTTGGTTTGTGTAAGAAAAAATTCGCGAAAATATTTTGTAAATGATTGAAGTCTTTCAATTTCAGTTAATATTTGTGTAAATTGTTTTGAAGTTTTCTTTTCACCTTGTTTATGTACTAAATAATTCCAAGTCAATTTTGTATAATGAGATTGAGCTCGATTAACAGCAAGTTCATCATTTAATGTAGGTTCATTTTCACTCATTGATAAACCTTTCGAGAAAAGTAATATGACAAGAAGAAGATTTAGTAGAATTGAATCTTGTTCAGTTACTTTTGAAAAAGAACGGATCAAACTCATAAATTTCTCACGGATACCACTTGTTCCATAACATAATGCAAAAAATTGACGACGTTTTAAAACATCTTCATTATTTCTATTGACAAATGTTCCAGTTAATGGATTATAATTTAGACATTTTTGTATCATATATAGAGGAAGAAGATTATATTTTATCAATGTAAATCGATCATCATCATTTAGACTTTCGAATTCATCAATTTGCTGAAAAAACTTAATCATTTTCAAAGCTGTTTGACTTGCAAATTGTGACCAGGATATTAAAGCTGAATTACGATCAGATGTATCAAATGAACGACATAAAGAATTATGATTTTGAAATATTGATGAATAACTTGATCTAATACTTTCAATATCCGACCAATCTTCAATCGAAATACTTTGACTTGAGGTTCTTAGCTTTCTATTCAAATCAGTTTTATCATGAGAAACAGGATTGTCATTGTTTGTATCCATTAAAAGCTAAACAAATATTTATATTCATTCATATTGAATATATTCTACTTCATTGAAAAACAATACTGACAAGCTTTATTTAAGACAGTTTTTTTTTTCTTTTAATTATGAACAAGAACGATAGCAATTATCAACAGAGAAACATTTGACTCTATAAATTTTCTTAATTTCTATTAAGTTTTTATGTCTTCAGTCTGTTCAACATTTTAATGTATTAAAATTTATAGTTTCCTTCTTGATGTGGTTTTATATATTTATCTAAGAAAAGCTTTATCTAAAAAGTTTTCATCTTAATTCCTACAGTCAATCAATGTTCTAATAAACAATAACTAATATATTTTCATATCTGAGTTTCTTCTTTTTTTTCCAAATTCTATCTAATTTTCAAGCTTGATAATGGACAAATTTCATTCACAGACTTAACTTACACGATCATCAGTTCCACTAAGCGATGCTGAAACATATGCATTAGTTAATGAAGAAATCGATTCTGTAGAAGATTGACGTTTATTAAACAATTGTCGATTTTCTTCAAGACGTTCTCGTCGTTTTTGTTTATCTTCTTCACTCACAATAAAATCTTTTCTCATACCCATAGCAAAACATTTTTCTAATCGACATCGTTGACATTTACGATGGCTATTATGAGATATTGAACATCGGTTTTGTCCTGTTCGACAACGGATTTTTTCCTAGAAAAATTAAATGAAAATATAAAAAATAAAACAATAAAGATGAAAAGTCAAACCAGATTATGTTGAGCATTCCGACGAAAAAATGCTTTACATGAAGCACATGTAAGAACATCATAATTAAAACCAATGGCCTGATCTCCACAAATAAGACAAACAAGATCGTTTTCTTTTTTTAACATTTTTGATCGACTATGTTGAGGAGAATCAAGAACTCGTTTGTACATTTGATCATTTGTTGAATTCTAGATTAAGAATTTTCATCATAAAAAACAATATTTCAAATAAAAAATACAAACAAGTTCGGAAAGTTGAGCAAGAAAAGTAAGGTCAAGTAAGCCATTGTTATTCTTGGATATTGGACTCGTTGAATTCTTTCCATCTAAATCGATGACATGAGTGTTTTTTGATGTGTTCAAACATAACTGATGAATAAGATCTTCATTTGAAGTAATAATTATCATTTTTGTTTGATTACTCATCGTCTTTATCGTCGTCTTCTTCAATTAACAACGCGAATATATAGACTGTTACAGGTTCTGTTTTTCGAAATAAGTATAAAATGACGTTATTATTAGATAAGTTAAAAACACGGTCAACTTATGAAAAAAAGAAGAAAGAAAAAGATGTACTTTGTCTTATAGAAGTTTCTATGACCAGAAAAAGAAAGGAGAAAAAAAACCAAAGTCAGTATTCATATTACTATTTGTATCTCAAGGTGATGAAGCATTATCAGCCTGTGTTATAGATAACTATAAGTGAGTCACTTTTTGACACTAACTAACCATAAGACTGACTTCATAGCTACAAAATAGTTGATTTCATATATTTTGTTTACTTTCAAATAGATATGAAACTCACTATCAAAGAATTCATACTAAAATTCTTTAGACAATTTTTTAATATTTTTTAATGATATCTACTAAAGATTTTTCTATAGACTAGTTGAATCATCGTGCATTTGCAGCATTCTTTGATTAGTATATTCAAGCTTACTTTATGAAAACTGCACTGTTTGACTGTGACACATATTAGTTTGACTGATTGTTAACCTTAAGCAAACTTGTCGTAGCATTTTAAATAAAACAATTAGTTCAATGTAATCATCTGTCGAGATGCTGAGAACCTTTCCAAGAAGAACAACCAGATTGAAAATGATCGAATGTGTATCTAGTGTCTAAACCGATTAGTTGTAGAAAGTAAACGATCAAGAATAAGCTGTTTTTGAAGCAGCAAAGATTGATTGATGTTCTTTTTCTCGAAATGTAATTCTTCTTGTACTAGATAAGTCTTTTCAGCTGGATTTGCCATCTTGAAAAAATATGAGAAGGCTTTAATTCGAGTTTTCTATATATGAAGTAAAGATCCTAATTATATTCTTTGTAAACATGTATGTATTGGTATTTATATCAGCTAAACACAAGCATAATTTTAGAAAATAGATTTTCTGAAAAATGTTTTCGCTAGATGATAAGAAACTATAAATGGTAGACTATATACTGAGAATGAGCAATGACTTTAAGACAGAAGAAGTAGAATGTAGACCATCGCATAAAACAAATCTGCCTTGGAACAGAAATTGTAACCGTTTACAAGGACAGTTCTATCAGAGCTAAAGAATATCTGGATGATCTTGAGTCCATGAGAATTAATACTTGAAAAAATTTTCAAATTTAACTTTTTTTATTCTACTACTTATAGATGCTTCCGGAAGTTTCGTTATGAGAAGTTATTCAGATGTGAAAGGTTGCGAGAGTTTAGATTTTGATGACAAAGATGGATAAATCCGATTAACGAAGACGCTCACGGATCTCTCATGACTTCTGATCATAGAGACGTGTGGTCAATTCCACTGTCTGAATTTTGACGAAATCATACGAGACACTAATAGATTTTGCTAGATTCTTATTGGATCATACATAGTTCAATTAAGATACAATTGTCAGAGCAATCATACTGAAAACATACAGTCTATTCTATATATCTTAATTCAGAAATTTCATCATGTCAACAAGTATTAATGGAATATGATGATGTTCGAGAACAAAACAGTGAAATAATACAAAGACTTGATCCACAATTAATTGTTAATTGTGTTACAGGTATAGATGAACTTCGATATTTATTAATAAAACATATTGAACAAGTTTGTAGAGGCTTTACTTTTATATTACAACATATTTTTATTGAACTATGTGTACGGTTTTGAAGCTGATGAAACAAATGAATTGATATCTTATGTTGATTTACTTGAAACAATTCTTGCTGAAAAAGAAGATAGTAAATTAGCTGCAACACGCCTTTAAAAAGCTATACGAAATACTTTTCAAGATGGTTCAATGAATACAACATCTATTCCAAAAGAATCACCATCATCAACACCAATTACACTTAAACTGTTACGTAATTTTTCAAGTATATCTAGTTATCAAACTAGAACCAAATGTACTGATGAAAATTGTCTATTTATCGTATTTCTTTTGTGCATATTTTCTTATTTGTCATTTTCATTTTTTTTTCTGTTTCTTTATTTGTATATGGCTGTTCGATAAAATAATATAAATATAATATCATCATATAGGATTATATGCATACAGCATATTTGTTATAGTACGTTAACATGATGTGTTGATAATGGAACAATAAAAGAATATTTAATTAAGTTTTTTTTTCGTTCACTAATAAAGAATATTAATATGTATATAATTTGCAAGCTTGATTGTGCAGAATCTTAATTAAATAGAGTTTCAACTGACTATCATAATTGATCCGTTCTATTTAAAACGTTTTTTTTTCATACATATGCCATTTTTCTCAAATAAATCGTATTCAGAGTAAGTTTCAATATATTTATCATAAAATATTGTTTTAGAAACTACTAGGTGATCTTCTGTTTGTCTATACTTTTTTATTGCTTTAATTGAACTGCATTAGTCAAGATTAACTTCTCGAATTATTTTATTGATGCTTTACTACAGAGCTTGTATCAGACATGGGTAGTTCCGACTTCGGAGCGATCCGTTAGAACGGTAGAGCTAGAGCGAAGTCGGAGCGAAGCTCTTCGTGAATCAAGTGAAGCTGGAGCGACGTTTTCTTTCTAACTTCAACCATACGCTCATTTTTCGCTTTATTATTCTGTGAACAAAGACCGAAGAATTAGTGAAACAAAAGCTCGTCATTGACAATTTATTGCAGTAAATATGCCATTGTTACATTTAAACCAATCACAGTGCTTGAAACAATAACTAACCGTTCATTTAGTCGATTGTTCTACGGCATATTTGACTGCACTATTGTTAGTTTGAAAATTTAAAAACATGACCTCGATGAAGATAGAATATCCAATGTTATGAAATGTACGGGAAGTAAGCGATACCAGAACAGAAAAAAATTCTCATTCAAGTGAAAGTTGAATGAACAAACTTTTTGATGTCAAAACAATGATATAGTCGATCGTCATCGTTAACTGGGCAAGATGATGACTTCAATAAATCATCTTCTCTTGTTGTTAAATCGGCTGACTGCACAAAGTGTACTGGTCAACTTATTGCTTTTTACTCGCTTAGTTCTGTCGCAAATTCTTCTTCTTTAAGTCCGCTGACTACATGAAGTGTTGGCATAGCCGACTTATTACTTTTCACTCGCTTAGTTGTCATGGCAAATTCTTCTTCTTCTCAACACATGAGTCACGATGCGAGTCAGCAACTCGTTCTGAGCTCACGACTATCATGTTGAATTGAAAGAAAGAAGGTTGAAGAAATCGTGGGAACGTGACGAGTGCAAATCTGAAATCCATTTTCCGAAATTCGGTGGCGTTCGGGAGATATATTGGGTTGTTACATAAGTTCTGCAGGTTTTGTTGTTAATGAACAAATTTATTTTACGACAAGAATGTACAATATCAATCAACAATACAATCGCCATTATTTTCGAAACTTGGACCCATCTTGCTACCCTAGTCATCTCTCCCCCAAAGGATCCCCGGTGAGTCCTCAGGGAGTCACCACACTATTCCACAGGGAATCACTGAACTAGAAAAAATTCCCAAGGACTCCCTGGGGATTCCCTATGAAATTACTGGGAATTCCCCAATTTTCAGAGAGTAGGGAGAAAATTAAAAACTCCTTGGAGAATCCCCATATAGGGACTCTCCAGGGAGTTTTCTTTTTCTGTTTTAGTTCTGTTAAGTACATAAATGTTTCGGATAGATACTAATACACATATTTTTAAATACAGCCATATGATTAGTCGTAGAAACGTCCGGCTGGTACACAAAGAAGAAAGAAGTTGAAGTAAAAGTATTAGACGTTGTTTCAAGCTAGAAAGTAAAATAAAAACACATTTATTTTTAAAGATAATATATAAAATTCACATTTTCTAAGATGTATCATCGAGTATTGTGGTTCCACCAGTATCAGAATTTTCTCCAGTTCCACGCATTTCTCCATGGAAGGAAAAATCTTCTACAAATGAACAAACTCGTCGAAGAAAATGACCAGTAGCGTTTCTGCCATCATCATCATCTAATCATCTTTCTCCAGGTATGTTTCCATCAATATATGCTCTTCAAATGCTTGAAAAAAAGAACTTTATCTTTTATTTTTATTTTTCTAATAGCTGATCGTTTGGTAGATATTGAAGACGCTATTAATAATTTAATAGCGTATGTAAATACTCTTCGTGAAGATGTGGCTTCAATTGCTGTCCAATTAAAACCATTATTGAAAAATATCAAAATCATTCATAACGTAAGTATAGATGAAGTCTATACCTTGTCTTACATGTTATCTCAATAAAAAAGACCATATACCTTTTTTAAGCATATGATACAGAAAAGTATAGCAGAAGTTCTAGCCACATCTTCATCTTTACGAAACTCGACAAGTCAATCACCTTCTAGTTTAAATTCATCAAAAAAAGTTTTGGTATATTTCTCTCGTAGATAGATATCAATACAGTCTGTTTGTTTTTTTTCTTTTTTCAGATTTTTAAAGATACAAATTTAATGCAATAAAAACATGATTTAACTTCGATCCGGTCACTCCTTCGAAAAAAGACCATGACAATATATACACGTAATGAAATATTATCGAATAAACATTTAGATGAACACTACGAACGCTATGCAACTATTATAGGTACCTGTTTTTCTTTCTCGAATAATTATTATTTTGCATTCTTTGTTCTCCTTTAGATGCATTTCAAAATGGCTTTGCTTTAAACGATGGAACAATTAATGCATTATTTTCGTCATTAAAAGAAGCTCGAAATCAATTAGCCAACTATGTGAGATATTTGAAAGTCATGAAACAAAAATTAGATAGAAATGTTGCCAATGATGATGATGGTGCACCTGTTCAAGGTGTTCAAATTATAGACGAAGATCAAACTTTTTAACTGAATCATCATAATGAACTAGAACAGCTACAAAGACAGAACATATTTTTTCTCATGTAGTTTCACTACGTAGGTCTGTTGTTTTCACGTTGTTTCTTATAAGATATTGAAAGCTTTTATTTTGTTGAAAATACAGATGAAAATCAACAATGAATAAAAACAAAATTGTTATGAATGTGCATAAATAGGTAGTTCTTCATTGTAAAGAATTGAAATTCAATTACGTCTATAATGACTCATTCTTCACTTTTCAAGCCACTCCCTAAACAATCCTTGGGGATTCCCCGAAAACTCTCTCTGAAATTCCCGGAGAGTTTTAGCAGGAATTCCCCGGGGATTTGACAAGGGAGAATGAGCTAGGGTAGCAATTGCTCAATCAGACATTTGCAGAAACTAGCCGGTTAGGATTCGAAAAAGACGATGAAATTTTGTTGGTTGACAAAAGAACCTGCGGTGCTTAAGTTACAATGCAATAGTTGAGAGATGGTGAAGTATTAGTATGTACGCTCAGCCCGATGACTCATCAAATCAATATCAAATAATGCACTTTGGAGGGCGCCACATGTCTAGACTCATTTTTGGAAGATACTATTAACACAGTACATTCTCGTACTAGGTCTATAAAAAGTGGTGAAGTCCGTTTCTCTAGCCCAAGAACGGTTTTTAAGATATCTGCCTAACAAAATATGGTATCCTATGGTAACGAAATGCACTTACTGAAACTTCGTAAGTAGAGAGAATCGAGTTCTGTGGCACTTTCCAATCAATTCAGCGCATCGACTAATAATGGAGGAGCTCGATTTGACTAAAAAATTGAGAACCTCAAACAAAATTTTTGGCCATGCCGTCTCAATAATAACGTCATTATAAATGATCTGTGTTCGGATTGGTCAGAGTATTTTGATGATTTCATGGCACTGCCTCTTTTTTTTTAAAACTAAATATACAGTTCGATAGAGAAAATTTTTCTCTATCTACTGATACCAATCTTATAACTAGCCCCTTCCAAAAAAAACACCCAATCATAGAGCATTTGCTATTGTTTCACTTATTTGAGCTGTTTTTTTTTTCGGCTGAGCGTCCATACTATCTGATAAATTATGTCGAGTCTAACTGTACGTGTGTAACGTTACAGTTAGGCCCCGAACAGACTGAAAAAAATAAAACAAATTAAGCAACGTGATTGGTCTATTTCGATTTAAATCGTCTTTTTGAGACGACTTATTCGTTAATTCCGTTTTAGTTCACTTTGAATTAGTCGGTCTGTTCGGGGCCTTAAACTATCTTTATTTTCTGTTTGATCATTAATCGATCTATCGAAAAAAGAAAATGATGATGTCGCTTATTGACAGAAAGAAAAGATTTATTTAAACACGAAAGGACATAGGCAAAAGAATAACTTAAAATGATATGTTTGCAGAAATCGAACAAAGATGTTGCGGAAATGTTTCTTAGGATTTTAGAAAAAGCCCTATTTTTCAGCATGAAACATATAACCGAACAACTTCTGATAGGATTAGTTTATGAGATTCAAGGTTACAGACCATTAGTAACTCAGATGATGCTATCAAAAAGCTGTCAACGACGAATGTTAAACTATTCATGCTTTTATTAATATTTTGAGAATTTTATCCTGTTAATTTAGACAAGTAGTGCTCGACAACGCTCAATTCTCTTAGACCCTAGACTAACGGGATAGAGATATGCATATAGGTGTAATTAGATGTAAATGTGCGTTAAATACTATTAGATCGGATAGAAATTTCGGACTAATTACTTATTGTTGGATTAATTGAAATCAATAAGAAAATGGACATAATCAGTTTGTTTCTTCGACTCCTCCGTAACCCATCGTATTTTATTAGAATAACTATTGTATACCACCATGACTTCGGCGGTACGTATATTATTTTAAGATATAGATTGTATTATTTTCATTTACATTAATTTCAAGAACAATGACTCAGTCATTATTATTTTGCAAAATAAATTATATTCTTGTTACTTAAATTAATTTCAACAACAGTTGCGACGCGAAACACTATTTTAAGAAGAAAATGATATTCTGTCTTATTTATGTCAATTTCAGTGACAATTTCATTAGTAAGTCTTTTTTTTTGATTAGTTCAATTATGATTGTTTTCTTGTTTAGATTAATTGAAAAAGCAGATCCACTAGTCAGTATGTTCATAAAATAAATCATATTCTATCGCCTTTAGAATAATCATAACAGCGATTTCATCAGTAAGTATTATATGTGCTTCCCGTTCACAAGGGGTTAATATCATGTACTAGAATGATTATAAATAATGAATGGAAGCGATTTTCAAAATTCTGTTCGAATAAAAATTGCTCACACGTATTAACTTTGGTTTGAAAGCACGTCGAGCTTGATACATCTTGAAAGTCATAAATGTGCTATAAATAAATCGGAGATTCGGTCTAGTTTGACATATGGAGCTAAAACTTTTATGAGGATCATTTTTTAATAAAATGCTAATGAATGTTTAAAAGTAACAAAATATATCTTTTTAATTATAATAAAAATGATTGACTATATATCTTGTTGATGCTTGTGATCAACAATTTTAATTGGATGCTGAGTTTGATATTATTTTTTACTTGAATTCTATTTCCTTGAAAATTAAAGTCGTTGTTGATCCTACTTTTCAATGTTATCACTTATATACACATTGAATTTTTTGTATATTATAAAATACTATTTTCGACAAGAAATATATTTTTTTTTTCTTTTAGAACTTTGAAACTTTTTAATAATTTAATTCTTTAATTGGAATGTTTATTAAATCAATAAGACAAATAAAGTTAGTTCATATGTAATAAAGCAAAGATAAGACTATATATATGTGTGTGTGTGTTTATTGACTGATGATAAGAATTGACTCTTCTAACGTTTGAAACGCACAAAGAAAAAATGGAGTTTTGTCTGCAACCACCCGATAGTTTTACTATTTGTTTACATGGTCAATCTATTCTTATACACAAACGCGAGCAACCTTTGTTCTATATCGGTACATGTCAATCTTCATATAATATGCGTCTTGGTCATTTTTTGATCAAACATGAAATAGAGAAGAAAGTAAGTCTTCAGGTGGAAAGTATTAAAGAAATCAATCCATCTCAAGTCTATGAAATAATATTTACTGATGAAAATAAATTATATAGTCTTCAAATAAAATTTATAATAGATGATAATGGATTAAAAATTGAATTTCCTCAAACATCTATATCGAACTATATTCGATCCGTTATCGAAGGTGAAGAAATACTTGAACGTGCTGTTGATATATTCGATGATAGTGATCAAACAAATTTATGGTTTTCATTAGAAGCATTACCATTTGATCAAGAAATTCTACATGGTTGTGGTCTTCAGTTCGGTAGTAGTGATCTTAGACGAAAAATTTTACCAATATGGGTATCAGAATGGTTTCATGATCAATTATATTCAAATGATGATATAACAGTTCGTCCTTCATCACATACTACTTATCATCCACAACCAATGTTTAACTCATCACGTGGTTATACATTTTGTGCGTATGGATCAGCCTATGCTCAATATGATTTTACCGATGTAAACTTGCATCGTTTTCATTTTGCTGCTATTCCTTATCGATTGGAATTGAGTCTTATTGGTCCTCCTGTAACATCTCGTTTATATATGCCATTGCCAGAATGGTTACACAATGGAATTATTTTAAGTGTACAAGGTGGTACCGATGTAATTGATAAAAAATTACGTACAATGTATGAATGTGATACAAAAATTGCTGGTGTTTGGGCACAAGATTGGTGTGGAAAACGAATAACATCATTTGGTAAACGAGTCTTTTGGAATTGGCAATGGAATGAAAGTTGGTATCCGAATTTGAAAGAAAAAATTATTGAATGGCAGCGTAATTATAATGGTTGTCGATTTTTAGCTTATATTAATCCATATATTGCTGTTGATGGTTCGTTGTTTAAAGAAGCTAATGAAAAAGATTTTCTTGTTAAACGAATCGATTCTGAAAATACTGTTTATATGATAGATTTTGGTGAATTTAACGGATCAATTATCGATTTAACTAATCGAAAAGCATTTGAATGGTATAAAAAAGTCATAAGAAGAAATTTAATTGATCTAGGTATATCTGGTTGGATGGCTGATTTTGGTGAATATCTTCCATGTGATGTTCGTGTTTATGCTAATATACCTGGTAGATTGATTCACAATCTTTGGCCATTATTATGGGCACGATGCAATTATGAAGCTATTCGAGATGCTGGAAAACTCGATGAAATTGTTTTTTTTATGCGTAGTGGATATTTAAATGTACAACGCTTTTGTCCATTGTTCTGGACCGGTGATCAATCAGTCGATTTTTCTCATCATGCTGGTCTTTCTGTTGGAGTTCGTTCATGTCTTTCATTATCATTAAGTAATGTTCTTAGTGTTCATACAGACATAGGTGGATATTTCGGTCGAACAACTGGACGTACTCGTGAAGTTCTTTTACGTTGGTGTGAAATGGCAACATTCAATATTGTTATGCGTACACATGAAGGTAATCGACCGACTTTAAATATACAATTCGATAATGATAAAATATGTGTTGAATTTATTGCTCGAATGAGTCGAATTCATGCACATTTAAAACCTTATTCTCGTCAAGTTGTTCAAAAAGCATATGAACAACAACAATCATGTATTATTCCTCATATAGATTTACAATATTTCTTTGGACATGATCTTCTTATAGCACCAGTTGTTGAAAGTGAAGTCAATAAATGGAAAGTATCAATTCCCGATGGAGAATGGATACATATTTGGACAAATAATATCTATAATAAAAATCAATATGAAATAGATGCACCTATTGGTCAACCACCTGTTTTCTATCGATCTACAAGCGAATGGAAATCACTTTTTCAACAATTAAAAGATTTTTAAAAATATTTTACTCAATGTTTCTTTTTAAAATCATCTTAATAAA